ACCCCCACCTGACCACAAAGCCAGTGTCTCATAAAGGACTGATGGCCTTCGAGTTTCACTACACTCCAGCTTCTGAAAGAGAAGGTCCTGTTCCCTGTCACTTACCGTCCTTGCGGTGTTCCCTCCTCTTTAAAAGGAGAGTGGCATTGGATTGAATACAGGAGAGGCAGCACATGTCCTGTCCTGTGTGCCAGGTGATTCTCTGATCACGAATTAATGGGGTTTTGTGTGTGTGTGTGTTTATTTGATTTGATTTTAAAATACAGGGTCTATGTAATCTTGACTGTCTTGAAACTTGCTATGTAGACCAGGCTGGGCTGGAACTCACAGAGATCCACCTGCCTCTGTCTTCTGGGTGCTGGGATTAAAGGCATGCACCATCAAGCCCAGCATGAGTTAATGTTCTTAATTACTTGGTTCACAGTACTCATCGTACTTACTAGGGGATCATTCCACCCCCAGTATCCTCCAGTTCTCTTCCCCACCAGGAAACAAACTATACCTCACTCACAAACTTCCTTCACGGACAGGAAGTCTATGCCATGCTTTCAGCCGTCTATACGTGGTATTTTTCTTTTTTATTAGAAGGGAGTAATGTGCCTTCAATATTCCTCTTCACTCTTTAGTACAAAATGTTTCTGCTTCATCTGCTTCTTACACAGCATTCTTTCCTTTTCCTGATTTTATCTCTAGAAGTCCAGACTGGCTCAAGCTTCACAACTTCAGGCCTCAGAGCAGCATTTGGCCTCTTCTTCACAGCTTAAGAAAGTGCTTGCTCTTAAAGGTCTGTTGAGAGCCTGGTCCTGGCCAAGCTGTCCCTGTCCTGGCTTCTGCCCACACTCGCCAGCTGGCTGCTCCAGTTTCCTCTGCCATCCCCTGGGTGCTCTCTTCAGCCTCTAGGCTTTAGTGACCACTCTAGGCTGAAAACGGCTTGGTCCTGAGTTCCTTACAGCTCCAAGCAGATTTTACCTCCTCCCTGCTCCCCTCAGTAAAAGGCAGCTCCACCCATGCAGTTCTAAGCCTAAAGGCCTTACATACTTGGGGCCAGGCATGGTGGCCCACGTCTTTAATCCCGGAGGAGGGGTAGAGGCAGGCAGATCTAATTAAACCCTAGTCATTTTGAGTCTCACATCAAGGCCAATTTGTTACCATCTCTTAAACTGTAAAGTGGATAAAGAAACGGACATCTCACTGGCTCCACTTTCTACTAGTTTCCTGGGCTTAGAGCAACTAGTCCTTGGTCAGATGAGAGCAGTTGCCTCCTCACTAGGCTCCTGGTTCTGTCTTTCCGCCTTCATTTGGGTTCCCAAAGAGCCTTTTGAAATGTGTGAGCTAGTCACTTTCCTGATGAAAATTCTGAGAAATCCCTTATAGTGGTTCTGCGTGTCAGTCCTCCCCGTGGCCCGGGGCCTGTCACAACAGTGTCTTCCTAGCCCCACTTAACTCTGCAGCATTCCAGCTGTACCAGCGGTCATAACCTATTACTCCTGTAAGCAGGATTCTCCCGAGGGCTAAGGAAATTGGTAGCTCTCAGTCACTGCTACATCACAAGCACTTGGGTTTTGAGACAGGGTCCCCGCCAGACTGGCCTGGATCTCAGGATCCTCCTGTCCCACTGCTGGTCTTACGGGCACCTAGCACTTTATTATTTAATGTCAAATCCCCAGTGCGTCTTAACTCTACAACCTAGGACGTGCCCAATAAATGTATGAGTTAATACAAGTAACTATAATGCCACCCGGCATTGTAATGTATTAATTCATGTAAGGTGCACAATCACGGAGGCAGGCACAGCTTCCTATTTTACAGATGGAGGAACTGAGGCTCAAAAAATTTGCGTTGTGCAGGAGACCAAGGTTTCCGCTGGGGCCTCTTAAGGCTGACCTGTCCTCCCTCTCCCTGCAGGTCGCCAGCCAGATGCCAGCGCCGTCGGCCGACCCGGCGCGCCCCCACGCGTGCCCGGACTGCGGCCGTGCCTTTGCACGCCGCTCCACACTAGCCAAACATGCGCGCACGCACACGGGCGAGCGTCCCTTCGCGTGCACGGAGTGCGGCCGGTGCTTTTCGCAGAAGTCGGCGCTGACTAAGCACGGCCGCACGCACACAGGCGAGCGACCCTACCAGTGCCCAGAGTGCGACAAGCGCTTCTCCGCCGCCTCGAACCTGCGGCAGCACCGGCGGCGTCACACGGGCGAGAAGCCGTACGCATGCGCACACTGCGGCCGGCGCTTTGCGCAGAGCTCCAATTACGCGCAGCACTTGCGCGTGCACACGGGCGAAAAGCCTTACGCGTGCCCGGACTGCGGACGAGCCTTCGGCGGAAGTTCGTGCCTGGCGCGCCACCGACGCACGCACACGGGCGAGCGCCCGTACGCATGCGCCGACTGCGGCACGCGCTTCGCTCAGAGCTCGGCGCTGGCCAAGCACCGGCGCGTGCACACGGGCGAGAAGCCGCATCGCTGCGCCGTGTGCGGCCGGCGCTTCGGCCACCGTTCCAACCTGGCGGAGCATGCGCGCACGCATACGGGCGAGCGGCCCTACCCGTGCACGGAGTGCGGCCGGCGCTTCCGCCTCAGCTCACACTTCATCCGCCACCGACGCGCGCATATGCGGCGCCGCCTCTACATCTGCGCTGGCTGCGGCCGAGACTTCAAGCTACCCGCCAGTGCCACAGCCGCCACGCCCACCGAGCGCTGCCCGGAGTGCGAGGGCAGCTGAGCCACGGCGGGGCAGCGAGGCGCACTTGGGGTTTGCACCCGAGTGGCTCCTTCCGCGCCTGCACCTGGGTCGGGGTGCTTTGGGACTGGGCGACAGGGAGTGCCCTAGTTGGGGTCCCTAGAAACCGTGCCCCGTCCCCAGCTACATTCCCTTGGCCTTTCTGAGTGAATAAAGTATTCTATCCTCACCTCACCGGTGCCTGTGAGTGAGGTGGGTGGGAAGGGGAAGAGCACTAGGGATAACGGAAGCAAGCGGGGCTGTCAAGTAGCCTAAAGGGATTCCTGCGATTGGGAGAATCACACACCTGCCTTTGGCTATGCCTCACTCAGTTCTGAAAAGAATCATAAACAGGACATGTTCATGACTAGATGACTGTGTTGGCCTTTGGGGGTCAGTGCGTCAAATGGGGAGAAATGGGGTTATACAGACTTAAGGACTGCCTCCTGAATTTTGGGATTACGAACTTGCACCTCCACAGCTCGCTCCAAACCTCATTTTATCTTCACTGTTGCGGACAGCTAGTGAATGGCGTAGCACGGATAAGGAAATTGGCGATCACAATCCGGTGTTCACCAGAACTGTGATGGGGGAAAGTAGGCAGTGATTTCTCCGGGGTGTGTGTGTAGGTATCTCTATATATTAGTCTTGCAGAGGCTCTGGGTTCCATTCCAAGTATCCATAACTCCAGTTCTAGGGGATCCAGAGCCCTCTTCTGACTTCCATGGGCACCAGGCACTGACATGGTACACATACACACATGTAGACAAAACATTCATCCATATGAAAAAATTTGTAGCCAAGCTGCCCTCAAACGTGGGTCCTTGTGTCTCAGCCTCTTCAATGCTGGGATTACAGTTATGGAATTAGTGATTTTAAAAAAAATTTGGGGGAGGGGACTGTGTGCGATGGTGTGTGTGTGTGTGTGTGTGTGTGTGTGTGTGTGTGTGTGTGTGTGTGTGTGTGTAGGTGAGAAGACAACTGCAGGAATTGGTTTTCTTTACCATATGGATCTCTGGGATGGATGAGGCTCTGGATTTGTGCATGCTTGAGTGCAGGTGCCGATGGAGTCCAGAAGAGGGGGTAAGATTTGGAGCTAGAGTGACAGGCATTTGTGAGCAGCCTGATGTGAGTGCTGGGAACACAGCTTCAGTCCTCTGCAAGATGCTAGGTGTGGTGCACGCCTTTAATCTCAGCACTTGGGAGGCAGATGGATTTGAGTCCAAGGCCAGCCTGGTCTACACAGCCAGTTCCTGGCCAGCCAATGATACATAGTGAGACCTTGTCTCAACAAACAACAAAGACCAAAAAGAGGAGCAGCAAGTGTGTAACTGCTAAACATCTCTCCAGCCCTAGAAGTCAGTCGTCCCCCCCCCCCCCCCCCCCCCCCCCCCCCGTTTTGTGGTGTACACCTTTATTTTCCATCATATTTTCAGTATTTGAGAATTTCACACAATGCATCCCAGTCACACTCACTTCCTATTTCTCCCGGGTCTGCCCTCCCAACCTTGTGCCCTCCTACCAAAAAAGCAAAAAAATACACCAAGTCCAATCTGTGTTGCCCATCTACTCCCTGGAGCATGGTCACACTCCCAGTGTCCCGTCCGTTAGCGAAAACTGAGTCCTCCCCACCCACCTCCAGAAGCCATCAACTATGAAGTGCTATACTCCAGCATCCCTATCAAGTCATGTTTTAAGATTTGTCAGGATGGTAGAGCAAGTCTTTAATCCCAGCACTCTGGAGGCAGAGGCAGGCGGACCTCTGTGAGCTCAAGCAGCCTGGTCTACAGTGAGTTTTATAAGATTCTGTAGATTTGGGAATATAAAACTAAAGGAGTTTTAATATAAACTGTTTTACCTGGGAAGGCAAGGGACATTAGAGAAAAGGACAGGGGGGGTGCTGGGTCCGGACCCCTCACTTTACTGATGTGGAACAGGTCGAGGGGCAGGTACTCACTACCACTGCTTTCTCTGCAGGACCCCTTTTTGGGAGGCAGGCCTAGGTGTCTCAGGGGAAGTGGTGTGTCTTGGGTCACACACTGCATAAATCATTCAACACCATCTAGCTGGAGAGGAAGCACAGACCAAGCCAGGTGAGAGGGGTGGGTGGCCTTTACTTACACCACGGGACCAAGGAGGAAAGGAAGCTATATTCTGCACTCATCAAAGACTTGTAGCCCACATTTACTTCCTGTTTTCTGCTTTTCTAAGTCTTAAGTTGAAAAGACAAAATAACAACTGGCGAGCCCTGCTTCTCTGAAGGCCACCCAAGAAAAATCTAGAAGTTGTTGCCTTAAATCATTTTATTGAGAGAGAAAAGACCAGTAGACTATCTTTTGGAGACTCTTGGGTCTCACTCAGACCCATGAGTTAGTATGAGTGGACCAGAACAAGTCCATCTCTGCTGTTCAGACACCGTTTTCTAGGTAGAGGCCTGGCTTTTCAACTCAGAGGCAGGGTCTGCAGCCCCCACAGGCTGCTTTTCTGAGATGGTCTCTTGGGGCAAGTCTGTGTACTTGCAGGCAGAACCTCGGGAGAGATGGACTGGGTAACGTCGTCGGTTGGTGTCCATTTTGGAGACCACTGCTCGAGGTAAATCCACATGACAACGGGCTGCTAATGCTACCAGGTAGATGAGGACGTCACTAAGCTCCTCTTGAAGGGCTGCTCGTTCCTTTGGCGGCCAGGCTTGAGGACCAGGCTCTGCATCAGACTTCCACTGACTGGAAAGAGAACAGGACAGACACACGAGCTTGTTAGTTCAGCCGGCCCGCCTCCAGTCTATCAAGTATCACACTTCCACAGCCCAGAAAACCCCTCCGAGGTAATCTACCTGCCTGGGCTCTGGATGGAGCCAGGTGGGGAAGAGACTGGAACAGGTAACAGCCAAACCCCCACGACTACCCAAGCCAAGGGGGGACCAGGAGACACTGTTGGGACACTTGGAAGGTCTAGGCTATTTTGCCCTAGCCCTAGCTGCTGCCATTCCAAACCAAACCCCAGACCTAGGTCAGTGCAGAAGCTGAATTTATCTTCCTGTTAACTCATCTTTACCCATTAATCTCCCACCCAAAGCCACTACCACCTTTTCTGTTTGCAGTCACTGTTCATTCTCGGGTCTCAATTCAGAGGTTACCACCTCAGAAACTCTTGCTTCCTCATTTCCCTTCCGCTCCCATGAACACCTGATCCTCCAGCCTCTTCCTCTCCAGAGCTGGGATTTCATCCCACGCCACATCTGACTTTACTCTCCTTTTACCCCACGCCACAGTTCCAGATCATTTAAAATTAGCTCATGTATTATCAGTCTCCTTCCATTACGGCCCGAGTCAGCCTGGTCCAAGGCCCCATCTTTCGGTTCCAGATGACCTAACCCACAGCTGATGCCAATTCATCTGTAAAAAAGCAATGGCCTGCTCTCAGATGTCGTGTGTGCTCTCTGTTCTTCAGCTGCCCAGAGGTAAGGCTACTCCAGCCTGCTCACAAGTCTACTCCACGCTCTCGGACGACCAATCTCTGCAGGCACCGAGATCTTTCTGCAACTCAGGTTATCAGGCCCTCTGTCCAAACTCCATCACTTTCTAGCTCCAACCTTTTCTGCCTGGGTTTGCCTCCACCCTCATCCTCCATAATTCCATCTTCTTCAAAATGCCTACGATGGGCCAGACACTTGGGACAGACCAGAGAACAAGAACAGATACAAAGTCCTCATATTGAATTGGATTCTCCCAGGATTTAACCTGCCCTTTCTTGCCTCACTACTTCCTATTTTTAAAGAATGTATTGATTGTGTGTGTGTGCAGGCACCTGTGTATCTGTACGTGCACTACATATATGCAGGAGCCTCCACGTCCAGAACAGAGTGTCAGATCCCCTGAAACTGGAGTTATGGGCATTATGACCTGCAAGTGGGGTGCTGGGAACTGAACTCTGGTCTTCTGCAGGAGCAGGAGGGGCACTGAGACATCTCAGCAGCCCCTCACCACCTCTGAAGTGGAAGTTCCCTGTCTGGCAGGCCTCTGGGCAGGTCCTATTTTGGAATTCCTTATTTTCGGTCCACACAGGGGTAAAGTGCTGGTGACAACTGTCCTTCTCAGTCCTAGGTCGGCTCACTTTTTCTCTCCCCGGAAACTGGGACCCTCTGTCATCTCCATATCCTCAGCAGCAGCACAGAATACAGCAATAAGGAAAATCAAACCCGCCACTGTGTTTGAGGCTCAGATACATGCTTCCCTCCCCGAACAGCAGCCTCTTCCAGGAAGCCTCCCATCTACTCACAAGAGTTCTGCCAGCTCGCCCACTTCTCCCACCAAGGCTAGGAGCAAGTTCCGAGGCTGGTGGAACTGCTCCCAGTCCCGCTCTGCGGCAAACTCGGCATGGAGGCGTCGACTGGAAAAAAAACAAAGGGTGGTGGGTGGTTCAAGTCCCAGGGTTGAAGAGCGAGGGACAAGACGCAGGGCCCAGGCCGGTACCGGGTCGGGGCATACATAGAGATGGGGCATAAGAGGAACCCCACAGTCCGTTTTTGGATGTCCTTAAGTTATTACCTCCTAGCAAGACTTGTTCTGATCATCTGGAAATGAACGCGCCCCTGTACAGATTTTTTAACCTCAAGCTAAATTGTGCACCACTCTTCATTATTCCATTTTTTGCTGCTACTTCTGCCGGTCCTCTACCTTAACGCCCTTAAGTTTGAACGCCTAAGTCCAGCTAATCACCGGATGCAGTTTTGAGACAACGTCCCCTGGGGGCCTTCCTTGATATTCTGCAAGAAGAAATAACATCTCTCTACACTTCAGCCTCCCCTGTCCTCCCATCCTCACTCTTGGGGTGCACAGGCACCATCAGACCTCCGTTATCTCCTCAAAGTTGGACTAAAGGTTGGTATGAACATGCCCGGGGGCGTCACTCATTTTCCCCGGCTTCAGGTGGTGCACCGTGCAGATGAGGTTTGGCTAAGCTCGCCAGAGGTCCACCAGGAGGGCCCCGACGGACAAGAGCATGTTCTTCTTGCGGACCACGTGGAGGGGACCTCCCCACTACGACAAAAGGGCCAATCTCTTCACCCGAGGCAGGACAAGGACTTGCTTACATGTCCTCAAGCGTGGGCTCCGGGCTGAAGCTGAACGGGCCAGCAGCAGCAGCAGCATCTTCTTGCCCCGCATCACCACGCGAACCGCCACCAGCTTGGGACATCCCGCCCACCTGCCCCAGCCACGCGGGAGCGAGCAAACACCGCGCCACGCTCGGAGCCGCCTCCAGGGTCCCGGCCAATCATAGCGTCTTGGTGCGTTCCCGGGGCGGAGCCGGAGGAGGGCCCACTCAAATACGTGGATTTTTGCTACGGTCCGCCCCTTATCCGGACTGGACCAATCTGCGGGAGCTTCAAGTGTGTTTTCTTCGCCGGTCCCCTCGAGTTCTTCCGCCCGGGGGAAACTTCTTAAAGGGAAACGGACCAGTTCAATCTGGGAAAGAGACAAGAGCAGAAAGCCTAATGCGACGTTGTTTGCTTAATGAACGCCAGATGGCGCCAAAGTGAAGTGGCAGGAGCGGAGGAGGCGTGTCCGCTGCAAGCAAAACCCTACAAGTGAAGGACCCAATGTTTGCGTTGTCTCTTAGTTAGGAACACTGCTTAAGGCTCCAGAACAGCCTTCACACAATTTGAATGAGGTCGACCGGAAAGAGTGCAGACTGCCAGACACAAGGAGGACCCAGGCGTTGTATCCCGTGTCAGTGTCCTGCTCCAGCGGATTCCAATGATTGGAAGCAAATAACCCATTCTTGTCCTACAGGGAGAGGAAGGCATTCCTCCTCTTTACCTGCAGCACAGAATACAGGACACAGAAATTTGTGGCAGGTAGATAGGGTCTGGCCTCTTCCCACCTTTCCAGCTCCTTGGGTCACTATCACAGCCTTACATAACACACGAGGACACCAAACTCCCTTACGTTAGCGAGTTTCTGAAGGCTCTTTTAAAAAAAAAGACATTTGTATTTATGTATTTATGTATGTATGTATTTATTTAGTGTGTGTGTGTGTGTGTGTGTGTGTGTGTGTGTGTGTGTGTGTGTGTGTGTGTTTTGTTTGCATGTCTGTGGACCACTTGCGTGTCTTCTGCCCAGGGCAGCCAGAAGAGGATGTCAGGTTCTCTGGAACTGAAGTTACAGACGGCTGTAAGATGCCAGTGGGTACTGGGAATAGAACTTGCAGGAACATCAAGTGATCTTGTCCTTGGAGTCATCTTTCCAGCCCCTCAAGATTTTTTTCCTCCTTAAAATCTATAAAGAAAATTGTGTGTATGTGTGTGGCTGGGTATGTGCACACGAGTGAAGTTGTCTGCATAGGTCAGAGATGTGGAATCCCCTGAAGCTAGAGTTATCGGCAGGTGTAAGCCACCCAGTGTGAGTACTGAGAACCAGACCCTGATCCCTCTGCAAGAGTAGCAAAGGATCTTCATTGCTGAGCTGTCTCCTCAGTACCCCCTTTCCTATTTTTAAGGGTGCTGGAATCCAACCTAGAGACTTGACCTTACTAGGCAAGTGCTGGATCCAGTCCACTGAGCTACCCCAGCTCTTGAGAGTTCTTTCTTTCTTTCTTTCTTTCTTTCTTTCTTTCTTTCTTTCTTTCTTTCTTTCTTTCTTTCTTTTTGTTGTTTTTTTTTGTTTGTTTGTTTGTTTTTTCGAGACAGGGTTTCTCTGTGTAGCTTTATGCCTTTCCTGGAACTCGCTTTGTAGACCAGGCTGGCCTCGAACTAACAGAGATATTCCTGCCTCTGCCTCCCAAGTGCTGGGATTAAAGGCATGCACCACCACCGCCCGGTGAGAGTTATTAATTTCAAACCTGAAGAATCACTGCATCATTAACCATGGCAAGAATGGAGTTACCTAAGAAGAGGCATTTTTTTGTTTTTTTTTTTTTTTTTTGAGCCAGGGTTTTACATTGTAACCCAGGCTGTCCTGGAACTCACTATGTAGCTCAGGCTACCATCAAACTCACGCCAATCCTTCTCCATCATCTTCTAAATACTGGAATTATAGGCATGAGGCTCTGTGCCCGCTGTGAGTTTAAGGCCACACTGGAAACAGAGCCAGGCAGTGGTGGCACACACCTTTAATCCCAGCACTTGAGATCTCATGTCTTTGCTTGGGAAAGACACACGCCTTTAATACCAGGAAGTGATGGCAGGAAGTAGAAAGGTATATAAAGTGTGAAGACCAGGAACTAGATAGAGGCTTTTAAGCTTTTAGGCTTTTAGCAGCAGTTCAGCTGAGATCCATTCAGGTGAGGACTCAGAAGCTTTCAGTCTGAGGATTCATGGAAACAGGATTGGATGAGGAGTTGTTGAGGTGAGGTTGACTGTGGCTTGTTCTGCTTCTCTAATCTTTCAGCATTCGCCCCAATACCTAGCTCCGGGTTTTTTATTGATAAGACCATTTGAAATTCATGTTACACATAAGTAAATATAATAATTTTTTATTAAAAATCCACAACAAATAAAAATAATAAAATTAGAGCACCAGATGGGGTGTGGTGGTATATACCTTTAATCCCAGCACTCAGGAGGTAGAGGCAGGTGGATCTCTGAGTCTGAGGCTAGCCTGGTCTATATATGTGTTGCATAGTATTGTTTTAAGGTGTGTTACTTTTGTTTATGTTGCATTTGTTTAATTCTGTGAAGCTGTGTTACTTTGCCTGTCTAAAACGCCTGATGGTCTAATAAAGAACTGAACAGCCAATGGTGAGACAGGAGAAAGGATGGATGAGGCTGGCAGACAGTAAGAATTAATCTGGGAGGAAAGAGAAAAAGATCAAGGGACTAGTGAGAGAAGGAGGACTCCAGGGGCCAGCCACCCAGTTACACAGCAAGCCATGGAGTAAGAATAAGATTTACAGAAGTAAGAGAATGGGAAAAGCCCAGAGGCAAAAGACAGATGCGATAATTTAAGGAAAGCTGGCTAGCAACAAGCCAAGTTAAAGCCGGGTATTTATAAATAAGAATAAGCCCCCATGTGTGATTTATGTGGAAGCTGGGTGGCAGGCTCTCAAAAGAGTAAAAACCAACAACAACACATGAATTCTAGGGCCAGCCAGGTCTAAACAGTAAGATTTGTTTCAAAATTAGAGCAAAAACAAAACTGCAAGTCTTCACTGGAACCTCCTTGGAGAGCCCTTCACAGGGATGCTGTGTGCCTCAGGTTTGGAAGAGTAACAAATGAGGCTTTTAGAGTCTGAGCTCAGGGAACCTTTGGAGGTTGGTGAGGAGAGTCAGGGTCACCTCTGCATTCTCCCCAGGAGACTCTGCCTGTGAGCTTCTGTAAGGCATCTTTTAAGAACCTTTTAAATGTATTATTACTGTGTGTGTGTGTGTGTGTGTGTGTGTGTGTGTGTGTGTGTGTGTGTGTGTGTGTTTGTGTGGCAATGGGCATCTTGAGGTCAGAGGACAACTTTATGGAGTTGGTTCTTGCTGCTGTGGGTCCCAGGAATTGAACTCGGGTTGATAGGCTTATGTGGCAAGGGCTTTTCCACGATGAGCCATCTTGTAAAAGCATCTGGCAGAAACATCCATGGTCCTTTGTCACAGTAGCATCCTCTGAAGAGAAGGCCAGTCCTACAGGGAGGGAATGGATATGAGTGTGCACGTGGCCTCATTAGCTGTTCTCTTATTCCCAGGCTCTTCCCTCTTCCCCCATATCCAGTCAGTTTTCTCCAGTCTCCTTAGATATACCTTGGCAGTCCAACCTGCCTGCTTTAATTAGGGCCTCAATGTATTTGGACTTGTCTTTCAGTTCACACTTGTCAATAGCCCTTTATAGACCTAGCCTCCCAAGAAATTGTATCTTTTCAAACCAAGAGTGACTCTCTAGCACAAGCCAATAAATATTTTACAGGATGTCTGGCTTGGGTCAGGCAAGCATGTACATGCTTGCATTCTCTCTGCTGCTCTCAAAAGAGTTTGGCCACCTTCCCCAATGGTCCCAGTATGGCTCTCTGGGAAACTGGAATGGAAGAGGTAATAGCTGCTTGAGAAGACAGTGGTGAAGGTTTATGGCTAGGCAGATTATGTGATAGCAGAAAGACTTGCCCTGACCAGTGAGACAGAGACAATAGGGTATGCTGGGATACTAGGAGCTGAGGGCTTGGGTACCCACTGCCAGTGCCCTTGAGAAGATCTTTGCTAATCTTAGCCTCAGTTTCCCTCTACAGATCATAGGGATCTGGCCTAGGTGGCCTCAAAGGACCCTTCATGTGTGGTGGGTAGAATGGGACAATATGTATCCGTAGCTACATCCACCACTGTATTAATCTTGTTATAATTTTTCAGGAGGACCAAGTGCTGTGGGATGTCCTGTATGCTGTGAATATGTGTTGCTCTGATTGGTTGATAAATAAAATGCTGATTTGCCAGTAGCCAGGCAGGAAGTATAGACGGGATAAGCAGACAAGGAGAATTCTGGGAAGAGGAAGGCTGAGTGAGGAGATGGCAGCCCACTGTCCAGGGAGCAGCATGTAATGGCACACAGGTAAAGCCATGGAAAACATGGTGACATATAGAGTAACAGAAATGGGCTGAGTTTAAGTGTAAGAGCTCGTCAGTAGTAAGCCTGAGCTAATGGCCGAGCAGTTTTAATTAATATAAGTCTTTGTGTATTTACTTGGGGGATGAGAGTGGGAGAGATTTGTTCTGACCACCGGCCGGCTAGGACACAGGAAAACTTTCAGCAACAACCAAGGATGGAGACTTTAGGAATTTCTAGCTTAGCCCTTTCAGGCTGAGGGGACTCCAATAACCCTAGAGGTCTGTGATTCTACCCCTGTCCCCCCTCCACACATGCTGAAATCTAGTCAGAAGATCCCACACCTTCCCTGCCTCCCTTTATTCACAAAGTTCCTCCATCTGGATGCCTATCCTCTTCTCCACAATCCTAACGTGCCCATCCCACAGAGCCCTGCTTAAAAGCTTCTCACTCTGGAAAGCCAAATGCTCTAGAAAAAGGCAAGAGTTTGGGTCAGAAGGATTGACCTCCATACATGTGTTCTTGATCATGCGCGCACGCGCGCGCGCGCGCACACACACACACACACACACACACACACACACACACACACACACAGTTGTAGAACATTATTTTAAGGTGTTTCTTTTGTTTATGTTACATTTGTTTAACTCTGTGAAGCTGTGTTACTGTGCATGTCTAAAACACCTGATGGTCTAATAAAGAACTGAACAGCCAATAGCAAGGCAGGAGAAAGGATAGGTGGGGCTGGCAGGCAAA